CCGCATAGCCATGTACAATTAGATAAAAATTATAACATTCCGCAAATTGTCCATAATTTAAAATTTGAGAAACGTGATGTCTAACGTAAGCATGACACACGAATTGACAATCAAATAAGTCAAACTGAAATAAACGCTCGAAAACAATAATGTCAATGCGAGAAAACGAGAATGTCCAATACGAACTTACATATTATCAAAAGCATAGAACAATAAGTCATAAAGCCGTACTTACAATAATTTCACATATGAATTATGTAACGAAGACAGACCAAGAATTCGACGGAACAACATTAATGTTAATTATTAAGAATGGAAATATACGCGTGGTGTAAAAATTCAGTATCAGATTGTAAATTTAAACCATTCTTTTGTAATTGTATATACAACATTTCCGCAATACGTCGTTTATATAAAAACCGTTCCCTGTCCACAATCTCAATATTGTCCTAATCAAATTCATGGTTACAATCTAATCTATGATCTGTGACGACCGAATGATTACTACTATTTCTTCGGATATCATTACGATGTTCCGTGATTCTCGTTTTTAAAGTCCTCTTTGTCTAACCGACATATGAAGCATCACAATCATTTTCTCGTTTAGCCATTAGGAACTATTCTATTTTGTATGGTTCAGATATATTGAGGATGGCTCGAAGTGAAGCCGAAACGTCAGACTTATCGTAATATGAAATAAAAATTTTTTTATCGCACGAATTATCGCGATAAAAAACTCTCATTAGCCCTCCATTTGTTTTTTAATTATTCTAAGCTTGTATAATTTTTAAGATAATATAATAGTAACATAATAGAAAATTATTACGCATGCAGTGCAGACTCACCATATGTCCAGATGAAGAATGTCTGTATTGATGTCATCAATGTCGCTGAAACAGGAATCGGAGTATGGTTATGTATGAGTACACGGATTTGCACTAGTTAGACTTAATAAAGGATCGCCATTGCGAGAGCCAATTACGAGGGGGTCAGGCCCCAAAGTTTTCGCTTACAAACGGAACTTCTCGTTCCAACGCGGACTCAACGTATGCGGCTTCACGGAGGTAGCTCGTATAAACTTCGCGGGTAGAGCACCGCTCAAGGACTCACGGTGTTCCCGCCTGCTGCTGTGCTCCTTGCGCTTAAATGAAAGCCTGAAACTGATTTTGAATGAACAGTTTAGTACCGTCGTTACTAATGCTTCGATAATTTCTAACATCCAACCATTTAATGATTCCTGATTACTAAACCTTGTTGTTTAATTTTTTCAGCAAACTTACCTCTTCCGTCTTTAGAAACGGAAGTACATAATCAATAGTGAAAAATAAAAAAAAAATAAAAATACTTAAATAAAATGAATAATAAAGTACAATCTTATTATAATCTAATATTTGCATCTTTAAAACTTAGGTATATCCTAAACACGGATTTACTTTTTTAATTCTTTCGAAAATGGCTGCGTTCAGTGGAACAGAACAGTTTTACGATTATCTGCTAAGATAGGACCATTTCTCTTTCTCTCTCTCTCTCTCTCTTTCTCTCTCTGTCTCTAGATCTAAAAGTATAATCCAATGGCGCAAAGAAAATTTTTAACAGTTGCAAAATAAACGAGAAATAAAAAAATTAATAAAAATACTTACACAAAATGAATAATAAAATATACTCTTATAATCTAATATTTGCATCTTTAAAACTTACATTCTAAACACGGATTTGCTTTTTCAATCCTTTTGAGAAAAGCGACGTTCAGTAGAACACAACAGTTTTACAATCATTTTATGACTGCTATGATAGGACCATTCCTCTATAGATCTAAAAGTATAATCCAATCAGCGCAAAGAAAACTTAATTTTAACAGTTGTAAAATAAACGTTCTGCTGAACGCAGCCAATAACTTCACATTTTTCATCTCTTTCAAATCTTTCTTTTCTTATAGAATATATTTCAAGCTATATTTAAATTATTACGTTTTATTTTATATTTGTCTTTTATTAGTTATGAAATACACGAATCCATTTTATTTGCAAATGTATATTGTAACACAATAATCTCGAAAGATAGATAGGATTTTGATACTAATTGGTAAATTATGTCGTTGCTGGGAATAGAGTCTTAAGTTTTCTCACAAAGCTTCCAAATCTTCAATGCCAATATGCAGCATGACATCCGCTCTCGCAGAATCCGGATGGAATTTCACGCGGTTAACGAAGAGCATACACGGCGTACGACACTTCCCGTAGACGTCGCGTGTCTCGTTGCAGCTAGTGATGCACTGTACGCTCTAAGCTCTCTTGCCGATGCATTAATCACTTTACTTATACCACCAGGTGGCGAACGGAACAATATATGAAGATACACAGCAAAATGGGCTTGCTCTCTCAATGCTCTTGCCCGTTCTCTATTCCGGAGAACGACTCGCTCGCTCGTTCACAGAACTTGCTGTATCCGGCGCGTCCATTGTACATCGCGTCGTATTGTCGCAAATGTCGTCGGAGTTAGCGTGTAGTAAATGCATATATTATTGTGGATTCGTAACATTTTAGATTGGCACGTGCTGATTTCTTAAGCCGTAATCTTCTATTATGCCAAAAATATAATCACGCAATACTTTCTCTTAGAAGATGGATAAAGAATTTAGAATATCGCGCGATACTATTAATTTGTGTATTTTGTTTATAAAGTCGTAAAGAATTATGGAACAATATTTGTCAATTTGTATATGAATACATTTCATTCTTTCCAAAAGTAATACCAGTTAGATATTACTTTTTGTGATATTAATTTTTTAAGAGTCACTTATCTTAAGTAGCACACCATCAATTTTTATCGTACCGCTGATAACGGTAGATAGGATGCAATTTTTGTGTTGAACAATAAATGACATTTTCACGAGAGAGTGCAATCGCATCATTAATATCAATCATGTTGTAATATCAATAATAGCTAATGTTTGTGTGCTGTCAGGATAGAAGATACTTTAAAAGGGGAAAGTTCAATTCTACGTCTACAATATGTTGACATATTTCCTACGAAATAAACAATAGAACTTCCATGAGCAGTAGTTTTATTTAGAATGGTTAACACAATATCTGTCAGATTAGACTAAAAGACTACTAGACATCCTAAACTAAACGTGATAAGATTTGCTCACATCATCTCGCATTTCTAATTATAATAATTGATTGCCAAACAGAAACTACAGAAATTATAATAATATTTTTACAAAACGTTTACGTATTTTCGTATTATTTGATATGAGAATATAATCATTTCTTCCTCTCAACTTACCTGTGATGCTTTCGAAGCTTCTCATGATGGGAGTTCTCGATGTCGACGCCATCGGAAAGGGCGCGAATTGCTTGCCTCGGGGATGCTGGGGGTGTATGCGGCGAATGCGCCGTTAAATTCGTTTGTGGACTCAATGGTGCACCTGGGTTGCCGGGCTGTATTCCCAGCATGCAGTAAGGATCGCTAAATCCTAAAGAACATGACAATACATTCTTTCAGTAAAAAGAGTATTGTGTATAGTTTGTATGTGATTTTTATTTTGTCTATTACATTCCGATAATTTCTGATAATATTTTAGTCAGAAAATTTCTTGCAAGTGTATGGTAGAAATCTTTTTGCAGTAACAAGAGCAAGAACGACGTTTACTGCAACTAAAATTTTTTCAAGATTAAATATTTTCATATAATTAAGTTTTAACTAAGTGAAAATTTTGTTAAAGTTTTAACTGCTCTTTAAGTTATTTGTGGAATACGGTTTAGTCATTTATTTGTAATCGGGAAACTTAATTTTATGGGATAGTGAGTACTTTTACTCGTTTGCAATTCAAAAGATAATCGCAACTCGGAATGGAACTAACAATGAATTGACTTAACTTACCATTGACGTCCTTTGCCTCGAGTCCATCAGCTTCGATCACCACCACGCTTAGCACAACAATAGGTGGCTGCAATAGTAAATAAGTTTATTTGATTTAGTTTTTATTGTGACACAAATAACGGTTTGATGACATATTTTTCGAAGAGAGAAGAATCGAGATATCGTATTTGAGAGGAAAGTTAATAAACGGATATACCTTTTCTTCCGAGGCAATATTGAGATATCGTCGGTGCTGATCCTGTGGGACTCCGAAGGCTTCTTGGGCGTATCGATAAAGATCTTCCTTGTAATGCGCGTATTGTCCTGTACTGGCGCCTACAGTGTTTGCAATCGTGTAAAGAACCTCTATGTATAATTGCTCCATCTAGAAAGTAAAATACCAATTTTTTAATAATATTCAGCATATAATAAGTTGCTTACGAATAATTGATATTTTCAGAAAAGTAATATGTTTAAATTTATATGTTTTTTTTAAATTCTTCTCAACCATTTTGCATAGAATAAAAAATAAATATTATTAAAATAACCATGTTATATATTTTATTTAAAAAATTGTTTTATTAAATACCTATTTGTTAACAATTAATGCCAATGTAAATACATCGTATTGAGTCAAATTATAATTAATTTTCAAAATAAAATATTTCTTATAATTTTTAATAATAGTACATTTATTATAATAAAGATTACAATCATATTGTTAAAATTTTTACTGCAGCGAAAAGTTATTTTATTGCACAATTATAATCATTAGAAGCAATTTAGTTTACGAAACTGTCAAATACAGTAATATTAAATAATATTAATGCTATAAATTCTTCTCTTAAAATATATGGGAAATTCTATTGCAAGATGATTAAGTTAAAGATTTCCTTTGTCTAGCTAAATGATCGTGTTTCTCTGTTCCTTTTTGTAGGAATTTAAAGCAATACGATATTCATTATACGAAGAAAAGTACAAACTCGTTTTATAGAAGATAGAATATAAATTCAAGAGGCGTCGAGCTCTCATAATTTAGCCGATATTATGCCGTTTAATTCGAACACGGAAACACATATATTATTACTATTTCATTAAAATAATAAAAAATGATCGAGTTTAAGAAAATATTAATAAATAAATTTGTATAAAAATTTTGGAAAATGTATTAGTTAGTAAACACCGTACTATTATATATAATCATTTTATATTATTGTTTGTATATTAACATTATTGTATAAATTTATATTTAGAGAGAGAAACAAAAGATAATTATGAATAATTTCGTAATGTCATTATGTAGCAAACTCTCTATTCCATGTCATTTTTCGATATTACAAGGAATATTCCTCTCTCGTTTCTTATTAACAAAGCGATGACCGGCTTTTCGTCAATTAATCTCTTACGTAACATCCATAACAACCTTTACGCTACAAAGATGGGGACAATGAATAAAGATTAAAAAGAGTCGGGAGCGGCAGGAATATTGTACCTAAGGAGATTGGAAGAGAAAGGTACGTTAAAATGATGAGCAGAGCTTGACATGAGAGTTTCGGTGAAAACTCACAAGCTTTCGTGAAAAAGCTATTTACTTAAAAGTGTTTTTCCACTTGGGTATTTATTTTACGAGAGTCAAGAGCTTGTGAGACGACAGTGCGAAAAATTGTGCGGTTATCTAGGGACCTACAGCGAGAAAAATACACATATTTCACCGAGAGAGATAGGAAATACATAAGATAGTTGTATCCGTATCTATCTATCACAAATCCGGAGACATATAAATGGAGCTGTACAAATTCACAAGGATCCATAGATCCATACATTTATAAATATGAACAATATTTAGAATTTATTAGAATTTATGTGTATCTTTTTGGAGCACGGCAAATATACGAGTGTTCCTGTAATTTTTAAACAACATATTTGTCAACGTGGAAAGAGTTTTATATTAACATTGCATTTAATATTACATTTCTATATAATATAAATTAATAATTGTATTTTTATCTGCAAATATATACGACTATATAATGTCGTTTGGCTAACGTATTTTCTATCAATTTTATTGGATAGGTAGTTAGGCGAATTAGTAATAATGAAGGAATTACAGAGAGAGCGAATTGAATTTAAAATCGTAGTTTCGAGATTTGCAATCGGAACATCGACTTGGAAATACGGACTTTATTCGTGCGTGCATTACAGTCGGTGACGTCGAAACGATGACGACGACGTACTCTCATTACAGGTTTTCTACCTGTTAGTTCGATCGACGAGCGAACGTGGTCGTCTGACCCAAACGACTCAACTGACTTTATCTACTTAGAATAATACTTCAAACGGAATGGACGTAACTACTCGTCCGCATGCAAAGCCCGTTGCAACCAGAATGACGCGTGTTAAATGTAACAACGTTAGGTCGCACGCGATATAGTCGTAGTGCGAAAATGTGGGAAATTTGCCGCACTTGTACTAACAACTGTAAAAACTTTGCCGGAGTTTATAAAATAATAAAAAGCAGGAAATAAAAAATCACCTAGTTCTTTGAAATTAGAACGAGAAAGTTTAAAAAGTAAAATAAAATTGTTACGATAAAACAAACAAAAATCATGCACGTGTTATATAGAAAATTAATGAAATTATAAAAATACCTCTTTTTTGCTAAGCCGATATGGTTGCGAAGTTAAATTTGAATCTCTGGACGGCGGTGGCGGTTCCTTCGCTCTTGCTTCCACTTCCTGAAGGACAACGAGTCTCCGATTCTCCTGTTTCCAGGATAATGCGGTGAAACTTTCAAAAAAGGATCCATCTGTTTCTTGAACACTGTAATCAACAGACAATTAAATTAAATATTAATATCAATAATTTATATTTTTGTATTGTGTTGTGATATAAAAACAGATTAGTTTTTTATAACAAATAGAGAAATTGTATAGTAAACACACCTAATTATATAACAAATATAATACTATGTAGTAAAAGTTCATATTAAAATTAATAACATATTTTCAAATTATTATCTATATTTAATATCTGTCACGAAATATGTTTATATTTAAACAAGCATTTCGATGATAGATAAATCCAAATATGCACGTTATATTAATAATAACAAATATTAGTAGATAAAGCAAACACATGCATGCGCATTTGCCGTACTTTTAAAAAACATGAGAATTTTTCTCTATAATAAGCGGATTCAGATATAATTTTATTCTTGATTTGTTATTTTATACGCTTATATAAAAATATTTTTAAATAGGACAGATAACTTTTTATAAATGATTATGACTGAACAATTGATTTACATTGCTTTTGTATCATTACATACGCATTTACGGTAGCTAAATGCATGTCTGCTTTGTCCTTATATTCTAATGCAAGCAAGTTTCGCAATATATCAATGCACATTGCGCAATTTGCATTTGTTAATAAAATCGTATTTCCGTACTTCATATAGTAGCTTATTAGTCCAGCGATTTTTTCACGTCGCGTGTACACCCAGTTTCGCAATCTCGCGAAACTATCGATCGCTATCGATGCTCTCTCTCTCTCTCTCTCCCCCTCTCTTTCTCTCCCCCCCTCT